ACAGTCTGTATCACGATCATTACAACTTCTTTTATCCATTCTGTGGCAAGAGGCAGTACATCTCATTGTAAAGTGCCAGGACCTGCCATATTTACACTAAAAATCCACAAAATCCACCGGAATCCGCGGTTTCGTTATCTCATCGGTTCTGTTGTACACTGAGTCCGAAAAAGTATTGGATCACCTCCTTTAAATTTTTGGGGGCTCTCCTATACCACAAAGACACATGTATTGAGCAACTTTATACTGCATTAGGGACATCCTAAAGGAACCTATTTACCAGTAAAAAGTTGGGATCAAACGCGCTGCCATTAGAGAGAAATAACATAAATACGCGCACATGTGATCCAATTCTTTTTCTGCATTTGGAAAGCCTCAAGTTTTTCCTCTCAAATCACGACAACACCGCGTCGCACTGCTCACAACTGGACATACACCTTCCTCTTCAATAGTTTCAACACTTCTGATACTCAGAAGGCCATTATAATTGCACTAAATGGTGTGGAGATGTCAAACTGGCGGATTGCAGAACTTGAATAAGAGAACATTGCACCCTCCATGGCATCTAGAATGTACGTGCAGTATGTTCCAACTCATGATTGCAACCTTAATGCACCAAAGGGGAATTTACATCTCAAATGGAACAAGAGGGATGTCTGCACAGCGTTACAGAGGCTTTCTTTGGGTCATCCCAAGTGTGCTCAGACCTACAGCAGGAGTTTTCCCCCTGTGTACAAGTAGATACTATCTGAAATTCCCTCAGAAAACATATTATCAAGTACTATGTATGTAAATCTGAATATCCATCTATTGCAGGTCACCGGGGAAAGCGAAATGACGAGGTGGAACACCATTGTTATCAGAGAGAAGAGGATCGGCAGTAGTCTCTTATAAACAGACGCTACAACAATAGAGTGCTCGTACCTCGCATGTAGATCGGCAGACAGTAATATTTTCCGATGATTCTCATTTCAATATTTTTTTATTCTGATGGCTAGGAGTGGTGTTGGAGGAGTAAGGGGGACCTAGATAACCCGATATCCACCAGAAATATCATCAAGTATGGCGAGGGGAGCATAAAAATCTGGGGTGTGTCACCAGGCGCATGCTGAAAAACTTCATTCGCATCGAGGGCATCATGGACGGTTTCATTTATGCTGTTATCCTCTCCAAATACCTTCTCGGCATCGTCGACCACCATAATCTGGACTGTTGGACCATTGTTTTCTTCTAGGATGGCGATTCAAAGCATCAGTTCAACCATGCAAAGGGTTGGCCTGACCCCAAAGGCATTGATGTGCATCCCTGGTGGCCCAATTCACCCCATGGGAGCATTATTGAGCATCTCTGGGATCCTCCCAAGTGTATAGTACGTGATAACGACCCATTGCCAAAGAATCAGGAGGAGCTTTGGCTTGCATTAAAAGAGACATGGGAAAACATCGAACAGGAGTTTATTGACAGATTATACGACAGCCTGTCCGGTCGAGTGGGAAAACTGTTGAAGGGAAAGGGTGGGACAACTCACCTTTGACGTTCTGTGAGTGTGTTCTATTTTATTTCGATGCTTGGGGATTTTTCTGAGGCAAATTCTCCCAGTCGATCAAAAACAGATTAATAATTGGATCACCTGCCATTTTCAATCCCACATACAACACCGAGTTCTTAGTGTATATGTTTGATATTTTATACGTGTACACTACATCCCTTCTACTACAATTTGAGCATAAAATACCCAGTCAAAAAACGTTGAGCATTGAGCACGATCTTAATCTTTTCTGAAGTCCACGTGATCCAATACTTTTTCGGACTCAGTGTAGTTGTCGTGTTGTTTTTGCTCCTTTCTGGGAAGTAGAAAGGAATATGCCCAGATAGTAGTACACAGGTTCAAGGAGGTGGAAGCAGACAGTAATTGGTCTGACGGTGGATCTCTTTTTTTTTTTTTGGAGCGTTGGGTCCAAGTTGGGTCTAACCTAACGATACTCAGGCAGCAGAAGCATTCCGAGGTCGTCCGCTATTTGTTCTGGTTGTAAGCCAGATGTTGCCGGGGAAGTTGTCCTGGGCTTCGTAGTGACCCCATTAACACTGTTTACCGCGGTACGAAGCAATGCTCAAAATCCTTGAACAGCGGAGATTTATTGAATTAGTAGGGGTGCTCAATTCTTAGGTCGACCTGATCAGGTCGCCGTTTAATTCGAAAAACATTTGATCCTTTGATCGGCTGTCTCGGCTGTGTGTATCCCAAGATCCAAACCAAATCTACACAGCAGAAAAGCTTATGGTGTGGCCTCAATGGTGTTTGAGGATACCCAGATACAGATCAATTGCTTTTATTTGAAGATCAAGAGGCAATTGACACCGAACTCTTTGTGGATGATACGTCGGAGGTCCTCGAGATTTCTGCACTAAATTGGACCGAAATTGGTTGACAGTATGAATGTACAAAGTCGTGCGCGTGTACAACGCGTGTACAAGGAGATGGGGAAGAGCGAATGTACACAACGAGCAATCACAGAGTACTGGCAGAGTGATCGGACCTTCGGCGATCAAAGGATCAAATGTTTTTCGAATTAAACGGCGACCTGACCAGGTCGACCTAAGAATTGAGCACCCCTAGTGGACCCGTCCTACAGAATAAATTGCATCCTTTTATACACACGCATCTGAGGCGTGTACGGCAGTTGGGTGGGTGATCTCACATACTTAAGGAACACCTCTAAGGCGAGGAATGAGTCCGTGAAGATTCGTGACTAGACAACATCGTCTTTATAAACCCATACGGACAGAAGCCCTCTTTCGTGCAGGCGAGGTAGCGCCGCCTCAATTTCAAGTGCCAGCTTCGACTCGTCCTCTGGGCGATTAAGACTCTGCTGCTGCACACTCATATCCAAGGACACTTGACGTAGAGCCGGCAGGCGCCGGAGTACGATTGCCTCAAAGTCGCTCATGAACGTAGCCCATGAGGCTGTTACAATAGTCCTGGTGGCCGCGGAAAGGTGCATGCTAGTGATGCAGTTGTCGCTGGGCAGGCTGGCCAGCAAGGTGTTTAATGCAAGCCCATAGCCGAAAGTGGTGCAGTCTATATGAACGATGGCAGGGAGAAGGCTGACGTCGAGGACCTGGTGGGGTCTGTCTGCGATAAAGTCATAAACCTTATGTGGTACGGGATTAATACGCGCGCAACGCACCGTTTGCATCGATGCTCAGGCGCTCGACAGTGGCACCCGTCGACGCAAAAATGCCTTCAGCGCCGAACCAGTGGTGTTACAACCCTAACATGCCTCAGGGCAGTGAAGTCAAAAGGGCAGGCAGCGTCATTTAGCAGGTCAAGGGCCCCAGTCGAGGAGAAGAGTGTTAGCTTTTGGATCCTCGGACGATGCAGCGGAGGTTGTGATCCCAAGAATAATGATCCTGGAATCGGATTGTAACCGGTTAGGGAGATGCTCTCGAGTCCCGCACTGCAGTGCGAAAGGATGGTCTGCAGTGGGTCATAATCCGGGTTGTCGGGTCCCCGGATTTCCAGGGCCTGGAGAGATGGAAGCCCGATAAGTGTATTGACGCTGCTGAGGAAGTCGTCCCCTGGCACATATAACATGCGATCGAACCAGAGGGTGTGCAGCTGGGACCAGGGAATTCTTGCTACACTATGTCGACAAAAGAAATGTCACATCGGTTTTTGGACTATATCTCAACATTGAGACAACATTTTTGGGTCAACCAAATGTAGGATCATGGAGAAGGAGCCTACGGATCGTTCTGTATAAGTGATAAGATCAAAATATATTGATGTGCCATCACTTGAGGCTGAATACAGAAAAAAACCAGAAAACCGATTTTTTTTTCTCAAGCCAGGATTTTTTTGAGCACAAGCCTAAGCCATCAAATTGTAGGCCAGGATGTTCTATACTATCCCACATTTTGAAATGTGCAAAAATATACAGGGGATAGTAAGATATGTGGCCTACAAAATGGCGACAAATGGCAAAAAATGGCAAAAAATGGCCAAACAGCCAAAAATGGATAAAAGTGGCCATTTTGTAGGCCACATATCTTACTATCCCCTGTATATTTTTGCACATTTCAAAATGTGGGATAGTATAGAACATCCTGGCCTACAATTTGATGGCTTCGGCTTGTGCTCAAAAAAATCCTAGCTCGAGAAAAAAAAATCGGTTGTCCGGTTTTTTCTGTATTCAGCCTCAAGTGATGGCGCATCAATATATTTTGATCTTATCACTTGTACAGAACGATCCGTAGGCTCCTTCTCCATGATCCTACACTTTGGTTGACCCAAAAATGTTGTCTCAATGTTGAGATATAGTCCAAAAACCGATGTGACATTTCTTTTGTCGACATAGTGTAGCAGGAGCAGAGTTTTCACCTCGCCAGTGTGGAGGGTCAGAGAATGGACATAATTGATTAGGTGTGGCGATGATTCCATCAGAGCAGCAAGCCGACCTGCGTGAATCTGCTGCTGGGTGATTACTATGCCATTCCAATTCGCTGGAAGCATGATTTCGCGAAATATGTGCGACTGTGCTTGAGCGACAAAGGAGCGGCACACAAGAGAGCTCGACTTCAATGCGGACGGACTGTCGTGGAGGAAATCGATGATAATGTCCCACAGCTCCTGGACGGAAGGCCAGGCGCTGCCATTTCGAAAACAACGGAGGGACTGGAGCTGAGCGCTGAGGGATTCAAGTCGACGTCGTGGTCAAATCGTGCGTGTGACATGGCAACCGAGTGAATCGATGTTGCTAACCTGAGAGTGATGACACCTTTTGAATGTGTGGGAAGAACAAATTACTGCTCCCTTGTTTCTGAATCTTCATAAGTTATTAGCTGGTAAGCTTAAAGCTGAAGAATTTAGACCAGGGGCCGAGCAATGAACAATACAAGAAATCCCTAATTTTGTGCTTCGAAGAACCAAATATCGCGTTCTTTGCTTTCTTCCACTGAGACTCCACACAAGCCTATGAATGCGCTCCTCAAGCTGTAGAGCATCGGTGGGGTATCGGGCGGGAGCCCACGGCCCTCCCATGATCCCACAACAGTGTAGTTATGGCCGAGAGCGGGGTTCGACTCCCCGTCGATGCACGACCCAATGTTCGCCGATTTCTTTTTATTTTGCTTCTCCTTCCAAATCCAGCCGAAAAACTCATGTCAAGGATGCGGAGAGAGTGGAAATTCGTGAGAAAGGGAACACGCACCTAGTCCTAAATCTCAGTTGCACAGCTGAGGTTGTGTTGAATTTACAGATGTTGCGTACACCTCCATGATGTCCTCTGCGTCGCAGGAAATCAACCTCCCATTAATCCTGAACTATTCAGAGGTACAAACGTCGACGGGGTGTCGGCAACCCACGGCGCTTCCATGACTTTGCGAAGCCAACGTATTGGATGGGCCGAGAGCGGGGTTCGACTCCCTGTCGATGTATGCTGGGATCTCCAGGTCTCTTATTTTTTGTCTTCATTTGCTTGCGACCCCAGCAGTCTGCCTATTCAGATGTGCGACGTTCCGTCTCCAACAGTTGTATTCTGCGCCGAAGACCGTAATACCGAAGGAAAAGCGGACCTCCGTTCTTTCGTGGTCTACTGCACATTTCACATATTTGGTTTAGAAAATTGGGCTCCAAGGAACTCTTGCGACGGAGTGTTACAAGCGTCGGTTGGGTATCGGCAGCCCACAACCCTCACGCGCTGTTGGGTATCAAAGATTCCGTAATGGGTTGAGAGCGGGGTTCGACTCCCCGTCGAATCAAAGCGTGTTCTCGCGACGTTTTCTGGCCACCACAACGCGGAAATACAATTCAAGGACCATATGCCTTGTGCGTCATAACATATGAGTTGTATATCATTTGGAAGGCAGCAATCATGGCTTTCTGGCCATATTTATGTTTTGAGGGGTTCCGCTCTGAGATTTGTGTCAGATCAGGAGCTTTCATGAGATTACCATGGAGGCGTTCAAAACTCCCTCAATAATGGTGCGCTTGCAATGGGCTCTGGTGTAGTACCCAGTAATTGTTGAGAAACTCACCTCCATTCATTATGGAGCTCTCCGACTTCTCGGAATACCTATGAACGCGACGACGCGTTCTACCCCAATTAATTCTCGGGGTGATTCCCTTTCGGGGATTCCATCCGTTATGCGTGACCGTCGCCAGCACATCAAGGACGCGCGTCGCCAGTCCCTCTTTCCTCAGTCGTTGTCACTACTATGTGCACGTCTGAGGTACGGACTCTCTTATATATTCTTATACACTGTACTTACTGTTGGATAGAACTATTACTGAGGTTCCGTTCTCATTAGTAATAGTCCATACACGGCTATGTACTAAACCTAATACACAGGGGAGGAGGGGTCCCGAGACCGTCAAAAATGGAGGGGAATCGGAAATTGGTTGTGGATAATAAAATTTGCAGCAAGGTCCTAGGAAATGGTTCAGCTATTGCTAGACTATTTCACGGCATTCAGTAACCCGATCAGACTGCGTAATAGTTTCCATTCGAGACGCGATATTCCATCTAATGCTAACCTAGAATACCGCTATCACTTTGTTACCCTTCTTGGAACCACTGGCTTCCGTCTGCGGCCTCAAGGTGGCATCATTCGCTGGGTTGTGGAGAATACTCAATTCGTAGCCCCGGAGGCACAGGGTCTCGATTTGTTCTTGATAGTAGCGGAACATGCCATCATCGGATTTCTCATCGTTCCAAACGGTCTTGATATCATTATTGTTCTAAAATATTTTCAGCACCTTCTCTGCAATCTCTCGCTTGCACCGCTTACCTTGAACTCGACGATGCCAGTTGTCTTGTCCCGTTTGTTCTCTATGACTTTATCGTGGTCGTGTGTCCATACGTTTAGGATATGCCGTCCGCTACCCTTGTCGGCCTTGCTGCCCTTAAAAATGTGGTCGCGGATTGATTGGCTGAAAGCGGGCTTTGCAGCGTCTGTAACGCATGGATCCACAGCTGGCGGAGCGGTGATCTGAGGGTGTCTCAGCACCTTAAGCTGGATGAAAATACACAACCACATACCTATTCAGCGGCAAGCAGCTTTTCACATGTCTTCTTGCTCGCCGCCAAAATTAGGCCAGTGGTCATCTCTGGGACATTTGCCGCCTTTCACAATGAATGCGCACTGGATCCCAGCGCCCACTGGTAAATGTCGTCAGAATCTATCCATGTACTTGAAGCGATAGACTTACCGCAGGTGGCGCAGTCGTCGACAGATGCGCAAAGTTCAGCCGCGTTGGCTCTTTCGCAGTCCTCGGTGTCGGAGTCCACGCGGGTCTTCACGCCCTTCTTGCTGCCCTTCTCGCGAACAGGGCACGCCACGGGCTTTGGCGCTGCCTTGACAGGCTTCGGCGCCGTCTTTTTAAGCACGGGCTTTGGGACTGACATGCTTCGGCACAAGCTGGCAAGACTGTTAACGTTTCAAGTAGAGATATCACAGCGTTCTCGCAGCGTGCAAGTAACAGTAAGAGGTCAATCCATTATTTCAAACAAAAGTAACTGGTACCACCAGCATGTCGACGGCGAGCGAGAGCTTAAATTGACGAGAATCAACCTATTCCAAAAGCATCGTAGATCTCGATCACATACACAGTGTGGTTCCCCGTCGGGTCGCCGGTGTAGAGCGTGATGAGCTGAAACATGACAGAGGAAATCGCGCTGGTGTCCCGGGGGTCGCGGTTCGTTGGGGCTAGTTCGAGCACCGGAGCGCCGCCAGGAAACCCGCCGCCGATGGGGCCGGTCACGACGCTGATCTGACTGCCAAAACAAAACAAAAAACAATGAACGATAGAATCAGGAACGCGGAACGCACCTGTTCTGCTTGAAGTAGCGCTCGGACGCGTGTGTGAGATTGAAGGACTGCGGGCGGCGTTAGGGTTATTGTTGGACTGCGGGGCCATTGACATGATTGTGGAACTTACCGCGTTTTCGGGGAGAACGTGGCCCAGAGTGGGCGAGATGATCTTGTGCCCGAGGACAGAGGTAGCAGCAGTGAAAAGAGCGGCGTCTGTGGCAGTGGAGAATTTTATGACGAAGAGATTGGTTAGTGTGCGGAACGTAAAAAGAGTGGGGATTCGGCGCCGCAAAGCGCTCGTTATTTATACGGACGCGTCCCGCACAGTGGAGTATTGCGTGCCATTGTACGTAGTGACCGGGATGTGGCCGTCGGGATTAGTTTTGCTAATGCTTGCTTGAGTCACAAAAAGTTCAAACAGCGGGAAACGCCCGAAAATGAATAATGGGTCTAGAAATCTTTCCTTCTCATATTTTCATCCTCTGCAGCGCGAGCAAATGCACATGAGCCAACAACTATTTTTGGATCCATATTCTAGTTGCCCGTTGTTGCCGACAGCGCCTTCCGCGGTCAAACATCAATTGGCCTAAATTCGAAGTTCCATTCCTCGAACCGCGGCGTCACGCTGTTAAATGGTCGTACGCTTGACTGGTGGACAGACTGCGGTGGCATCTGCCTGCAAGAGTTGTTGCATCACAACATTGCGAAAGAAACAAGCGGCAAACTCACGTCGTCGGTGATTTTCTGCAGGCTTCGAATATTGATCTTGAGCCCGTCCTCTGCCAACGCGCGCAACGCGTCCAACCCCTGCTGCACCTCTGACACGACGGCGGGTGGGCGGTCGAAGCCCGCAGTCGGCGCGAGGACAAGCTCAAACGATTCGAGTCGCGCAGCTCCGTTGCCGCGTCCCTCCCATCGCGACGCCAGCAGCACAGTGAGCTCTGCATAAGGGATCTCCACTGTCTGGAGGCACGGGTTATGGGCGAGGGACCGTATGTTAGGAAGGAAGTTTGGTTCAGCCAGGACGCGGAACAAGTGCCTGAAGCTATAGATGTTCCACTCCAGATCCGTTAGCTGGACGACAGAAGCGGTGGGCACAGCGCGGAGACACTCGATCGCGGAAGGAACATCGGTGTTGTCAAGGACGATGGAACGCAGCGCACAGGCGGAGCGCGCGACCAATGCCACGAAACGCGGGGATATGACCCGTGGCGACATGGGCGGCTCGAGCAGCGAGAGCTCGACGTGTGTGAGAGCCGGAAGGATAATGTAATCGAGATCGGAGGTGGACTGGTATTTGGCGAACTGGAGCGTGTGGAGGCGGGCGAGGCGCACGGATATCGGCGGCATGTCCGGGGACTCAGTCAGGTCCACGCGGAGCGTCTCGAGATCGGGAGTGTGGTGCAGAACCTCAACGCATTGGGCGGTGGTCTGCCCACTGAGTTCGAGATACGTTAACTGCGCCCAGGGAAGAGTGATCCACGGCAGAGGAAAATTGATGAGAGCCAGCTCGCGTAGCTTGGGCGCATCGGCGAAGGCAGTGACCGGGGCAGGGGTGCCGTTGAGATCTTCTGGCCAGGCATTGAGGGTAATTTGCAACTTCCTGAGACCTTGCATACGCCCACGATATAAATCGCTGGGGAAGGTGGTCGGGATGTCCACCGAACAGGAGAAGGCCCGAATTTGGTGAAAAGACGGCGCTAGGGCGGTGGAGATAATGTCCTGAACATTGAAAGGACAATTAAGGCGGATATCCAATGGATGACCTCCGCTGCGCGGGAGCCAACACTCTAGAAGCTTCTGGGTGGTGGGTATTGCGTTCGGCGAAGTGCATACCCGAAAGCAGGACCAGATGGGGCGCAGGGCGAGTGCAATTTCCCTCCATGCGCGGCATACACTGGCCAAAAGCAACGGGCCGCAAGGCTCTATCCATCCTGGAGCATGAGGAACATTTGGATCATCCCCGCCGATTTGGGCGTTATCGACATACTGCAGGAATACTTCTGCGATGACTTCTGTGGGTAAAGTGAGAACTGGGTAGACGACGGAGTGGAGGGCGTCGACTATGGGCTTCCGATCTGCATCCAAACAACGGAGCCTAGCTCGAAGCTCGGCCATTTCGTCGTCAATCGCAGCCAGGCGACTGCGAAGAGTACGTGGAGTCGACATGGATGGTGAAAAGAATAGAGTTTGATGGGGTTTGTGACCAATCATCCCACGGTCACGCTTTTCGCCCTCGCCTCTCCCCATCATCACGGCGCGTCCAAGTCACATTCAATTCGAAT